AAAAAGCTGCTTCTATGCTGAATATCTGATTAAAAAGGGAAAAAAAGAGGCAACACTTCCAGACTGAGATTCACTGTGAAGGAGGTTAAAGACAACCAGAATAAACTGTTTCATCTTTTTGAGTTAGTATTGCCTGAGAGTTCTTTTTCCGTGTTTGTTGGACCATCCATTCCAAGGATTACGGGATTACAATGTGTTCCTAGATGGAACATTATGGATTAGATAGGGATGAGTAATCCAACAGGGAATATCATCCCCTGCCCGTGGATGAGAAGTATTGAATGCTAAATATGGTCGGCCTGGTGATCATAGAGGTTTTTACAGGAACTGAAAGGTCACAGGTTAAATCCCTGCTGCAGCCAGTGCATCCATTACTGTCTGATTACGCCCGATGCTGCAGGCTGCCACTCCACCGGAGCTTTTTGTGATTCAGTGAGAAAAGCAAAGTTAAAAGTGTGATGTCTTTGTTTGAGTTGCTAAAGCAGAAAAAACCCATAAATTGAGAAGAGGAGATCTGAATTGATCACACATTGAATTTGTTTTTCTACTGCTGCCTTGGAAGAAAGAAAGAAATTAACACCCAACGCTCCAAAAGCTGTTACGTACTGACTGACGGGCAACTTAAGGATCGATGTCTCAAATCTATCATCTCTACAGACATGTCAGGAAACTGTGGACTAAAACTGAAGAGCACAAGCTTGTACGATTTGTCAAAACAACGAGCCATATGAGTAGGGATTTAAAAGCGAATCCATTTATCTCTGCTTCTCCGCCGCGAGACATAAGTCACGTCAACATCATTTTTTGATTTTTCTGATTTTCTCTCGGGGGCCTTGTGCACACAATGGTGATGAAATGATGAGCCATCCGGTGACTGACTGTGGAAAGAGGCAATACACCAGCACTGAGAGGTATAGAACGAGACAGCAGCAAGATCTGTAATCTCCAATTAGCCTGAGTCAATCTGTTCAACTATTCCAGTGGATAAGACACAACTCAGCACAGTGTGTTCACGCAGTCCTCTCTCTGAGTAATGGACTTACAACTTAAGTCTATCAGCGGCTCTCCCGCTCGTGCCAGACACTCACAGTCAGCTGGTTGGTGTCACACAACTTAGGAGTAAACTGAGTCAAAGTCCTGCTAACCTCGTTACTGTGTACGAGTGTGTGAGACTGATTATAACCTAAGTCCCGAGCCCCTGAGCCTCGTGCTGTGCAGAGATGTCCCGATACCGACACCAGCCTCCGATACTGATGAAAGCACCAGGTCCTTCATCTGCGAAATCTATATAACGATCCAATACCATGTCTTCAAAGTATTTTAGTTTCACCTGGAAACTCCTTCTTCGCTGCTTCAAAACAGCAGATATACTGCAGCCTTAGCCAGAGCTATCGAATGCGGTATCATCTCACCCCACAAGTCAAACAGAGAGGTACTGTTTCAACTTAAAGATTTTATTTTGTTTGATAAAATATGTCTGCACGTTAACAGCTATTCAAAATGAAGTAACTGTCGTGCATTCCTGTATTTATTATTTCAGTCATGACAGTTTAACTAGGTAATAAAATAAGTTTTCACTCTCTGTTTGCTTTTCAAAGGGTTTAGCAATCATCACTTTCATACTGATTTAGTAGCATTAAAATACATGATATACAAGTTACGTTTTTTTAAATGCAGAGGTATTGCATCACCACTCTGTATCAGCGGATATGCAAAGTCCAGGTATCAGACTGGGTATTGGGAAAGAAGAAAAATTATATCAGAACATCTGTGGTGCTGTGTGTGTGTCTTGTTTTGGTCGGGAGCTGTGTGAAGATCGCCCGGCTGAAGGAATGGAGGAGAAAAGCGACATGAGGGATGCAGGGATTGAGTGAAGAGCAGGTGGCAGAGAGGGAGCGGAGAGGGGGATGCAGTGTCTGCCACTGAGAGGAGGAGAGGGGGAGTGAGAAGATGAGGAGGGTGAGAATGACACACAGGCGGGAGAGTGAGAATTGGATGTGTCTATTTTAATACAGGCAAAGTGGAGACATGGAGATTACAGGCTGATTACTCAAAGATACGGTTTAATGCAATACAACATGATACCTGCAGTATTTGAAAGATTACACTGCTGATTTATTTGACTTATTATGGGATTTCATGAAATACTCATTATTCCTCTGCTCCAAGCAACCGCCACAGGCAACAGTCTGAAGCATCAAAACCAATGCAAAACCTTTATTTTTATTACACTTTGGTTTAGATAAAACATGAACTTTATCTCTTTTACTCTGAAATTAGTGGATATATCCAGATTATTGTAGTAGTATTGTAAAATATACAACATTGGTGGTAGAACCAGTTCTTTCGTTTAGAAATCTTGTTTCTCTCGTTTGTTTGCGGCCGAGCAGAAGTCGTCTGTGTACTGTGCATGTTATTAAAATCTCCATCTTCCAGCAACATCACTGAGAAACCACATGTTTTTGTTCACAGCCCATTGACATCAATAGATTTAGAACACAGTGTAGTTAGACTTCCATTAAACCTGGCGTCCTGAACTCCCTGTGCCTCTAAAACATGTGCTGCAGAGATTCAACCTGTTTCTTTACCATCTAGACGAGAAGCTGAGTCACAACACATTCACTGTTTCAGATGTTTCATTTACTCGTAACTCGTTGTGTTTTTATGCAGCTGCAGCACCAGAGGGAGGAGGCTCCTCTCCTTGAAGTCTCTCCTTTTAATTTGCTCTTAACATGAATGAACAGAGGCCTCTGAGAACCACTGACGCTTTGTTTCTGACATTGAAATAGTTATTTTTCTTGTCAAGCCTGGAAAGCACTTTTACTGAGGGAGGGATCGGTGCCTCAATAGGTTTTGTTTGTTGACATGTGCTTGTTTGTGTGTGTGTCCCTGAATAACAGAGAGACTATTACAGATTCACTGATCTCAGTGCTTTGTGAAGCAGCTCAAGGTCACGGAGAAAATAACCACGTTCTTTACGTCTAAAAATTAAGACTTTATTAAAGATTGGAGGTTTGCACACGACTCATATTCAGAACAGTACAACACCGTACAAGACACAGACGCACAATATTTACACAAACAACAACATGAAAATAGACAGAATCCGATGCATACAGTAAAAAAAACAAACTGAATAGTCATGTAAGAAAAGACAAACGTTGCCGATAAGAGTTAGAAAGCTTCAGTTTCAATAATCATGAACGTAAAAATGCTGCACCACTATCAAAAAGCCCCAAAAAGCTCTGACACGAGCTGAACAGACACCAGGCATATATATTGATCATAACACTGCAGACTCAGAGGCATCATCAAAGCACCCGAGATTATTTTTGGCCTGATTCAGCATCAGCTTTAAGTCCTGCGTCTGCGATTTCAAATGTTTTGTCAAACCCCTTAAATCCTAAAAACAAAACCACCGGGGGAATCCACAGAGACACTGATGCTTAATGAGTTCAAAATATCTCACAGTGAGAATTTTTTCATCGGTAGGATGCGTTTGATGATTTGTTTACATGGGTACAAACACCCTGACAGGCACTTTCCACTAAGGATTATTTTTTATGCTGTGAGCAAGAAATGTTGAAATGAACAATCTGTACCGAACAGCATGTGTCATAGAACAGATGAGAATAACTGTCTGATGTGTTTGCAGTAAAAAACAAAAAACAAGACGATCAGACTGGATGCAAACATACTGTACAACTCAGCTTGTAAAAGCTGGAGGTGACAGTTTGTTGAGTGGTTGCATGTGTAAAACAGTCGATATTCACAACTGTGGGTGAATCATGATGATCTGAAAGTAAAATTGTGAATGAAGATCGTGAATTTAAACTTTACTCCAAGAAAAAGCCGAACGTTTCTTTGCAGAATGACATAAATGGGCCAGAAGATTGTCAAGAAATGTGGAGATGCACCATTCTGTTTTCCTTAGGGATTACATGACTTGTTTTAGATTTGTTCCGTAGCTCATTTACAGAACAAAAGAGACCCTCAGGCCTTCGTACACGAACAGAAAGTACAGCCGCCAAGGCGTTGATTCATGAGGCACTGTCCTCCTCTGTGAAACTGGTGAGCGACACATCGCAGTGGCAAGACATTACAAGTATATGAATAACTCATGCAGAGGTGAAAACAATGTAGCATCGCTCCAAACAAGAGCCCGATCCATCCGACTTTCCCTCCTCTTTCCTCTCTCTTTCGTCATCTACGCCTGTTTAACATTCCCTCCACTTGCTGCAACATTTTTCATCACCTTACCTTGACTCCCAACTGTAAAGCTTTAACAGCCCTTAATTAACTCCAGTCTGCGCCCGCTGGTCACGGAGGGATATCAGCTGGCTCAACTTATGGCAGCTGTGGTGGAGGTCAAGAGCTCGCAGGCTGCAACAGCTGGGAACAGCTCTTTGAATTTATTACAGCCTCAGCTCATTTCTGCACAGTTTTGATTTTCTGCTCTAATCTGAGTAATTTAAAAAAAGTTTATTATCAATAACAAAAACTCAATTGCCTTCTTGTCAAGTTAAATACTTATAATGCTACCGTTCTGGGGAATCTAAAGCCAGGTTATACAGCTCCAGCCTGACTCTATCCAATCACAAAATGTGCCTTTAAGTACCTTCACACTTTCTTGTGTTGTGTTTTAAAGTGTTTAACGGTGCACGACCTGGTCGGAAAATTTAAATAATTTAAAACCTTTAATTAAGATATTGCTAATGGAAGCTTCTTAGCTATTTAATCACTAAGTGCTGGACAGATACGTTAACCCAGCATTTCCATTATTTACCCTCTTGTCAGTCCAATGCCACAGAGTTGGTGAGAGCGTCTCGTAGCAGTGCTAACATTGGACAGATGGAATCCTTGTGTTTTCAAATGGCTACAGCTTTACCCCCCATCCAGGCCTTTCTCTCGCATCCCTCTCCTCAAAGCCGCTCCCTGTCCGTCACTGAGAGCTCCTGCTGTGTTTAGCACACGGCTCCCCCGGGTCCTTGCTGGCTCCGCCATAAACCCTAACCCCGCTCTCCGTCCAGGGGGCCACGCTCCCCTGGGCGACTCTGCCACAGCGAGCCAAGCTGGCCACCTGGCTCGAGGACAGGACCCGGTCCCAGAGGCCCACCTGAGACAACTCTCCAACCAGAGCCTGGGATGAGTCAAATCCTCCCCCGAGGGAATCCTGGAGAGAAAGAGGTGTTGTTCATCTCAACATTTAGAACTGTGCTCTAAACTAAACAGAATCTAATTTCCAGTGTCTGTTAAAGCTCAAGCTGTTGTTTATTCATTGTATATATATGTTTAGCTCATGGAGAAGTCTGAAGTGAAGCCACAGCTGCAGGTGTTGAATCTGTTCTTGTTCCTAAAGCTGTCTTATTGGCCTCCAATCACTTCAAACTCAGTCCCTTCATTCACTCTTTCACACATTCACCTGCTCCTGCCCCAGTATGAGGACTCCCCCAGGTCTGATGTGATGTCCGCTGGCCAGCGCGTGGCCCTCGCCCCTCAGCTTTCCCCCCTGGTAGGCCTGCCAGACTCCCCCCTTCTGGCTCCAGCTCACACAGATGTGCTGCCAGCTGCCTCGGGTGAGGTTCAGAGGTAACTGCGCCACCTAGGAAAGGAAAGAGCAAAGACAAAGTTTGGATAAAGTAGATTTTTGTATTGTCAGACATGAGTGTGTTGTATTTGAAATAAAAAAACGTCAGACGTCCGGCCAAAGCAAGCTGACGTGATTACAACCGAGTTAGCGGACATCTGCGGTTCTTCAGTGTGGCCCAGGACACATGCACACCACAAAAAGAACATGCACCAGCCCTGAAAGTTTCCTGAATGATTGGATCTGTCCTCGCTGCGTTTTCAGTGCACATCAGTACTCAGAGCTTTCCTTCAGTGATTGACTCGCCCATGGGACATGTCAATGCCGAGTGTGAACAGGGCCAAGAGTCTTTCAGGTTTTCCTGGTTCCAAAGACATTGTGCTGTCTCCAAGGACACACGGCTTTTCCTTCAGGCATCTATTACCATAATGACCTTATTGAATTACACCTATAGCCACAGCACTCTACACCACCCTGCATAGCTGTCAGGGTGGAACCTTAGTTTGTCATTTAAATGTGCAAATTAGGCTTTTAAGCTTGTCTGCTAAAGTGGCTGTTTCATTTGATTTGTTCTCTTATTTGTATGCTAATAGAGGGCACTTCTTCTGCTGCAGTAGATATGAAATCCTAATCAAGGCTAGAATGGGTTTTATATACACTATAACTGTTGAAAATCCAAAAAGTGGATGAGCCTCTTATAGTATATCTCCCACATATTAGTACTGCAGACTCTCAGATTCAGTATCTGTGAGTATCACGAACTTTATGAACAGTGAGATCATCTTTTGTGTCCGATTCCAATTTTTGTTAAAAAGACATTGAGATATTACAAAAAATGGTCCCAGTCATTTTGTTACAAATTCCTAATCCAAATGTTTCTGTGGCTGCACGACTGCAGCTTCCTGACAAATTCTACATTGTTGTGTATTACATGAACATGTTGACACTCATTGAAGAATTTGCATTAATATATATTTAGTTCATATTTAGGACACATGTCAAAGTGTACAAACTTACTGTTTGTGGACCTCCTTATGTAATTTAAATAACCTGCCCATACGGTATTTGATCAAATGTAATTGACAATATTTAATATTTATATATAATATTTTGCATTTATTAAAGTTGCAGAAAACGCAAAAGAAGATGTGTTCATGTTTTTAAAGTATTTTATCCATAAATCATTTTCTGTATGACTTTATGTAAATGTAAAAAATCTGTTATCCAAATTTGGACCCCATAGTAAGGTCAGGACAGATACACAGTACATCCCCGGTCCCCTGAAGCTGAAGCACAGGCTGATGCAGTACCTTGTCATTGATGAGTAACTCTGTGGGGGTGTGCAGGCCTTGCAGCAGCACCAGTTCATTGGGCTGCTCGGGGACAGCGTAAGACAGAGGCGTCCCGATGCCTCCCTCTGTGGGCCGCAGCCACAGACAGAGGGTGAAGGCCCGCAGCTTCGGGATGGAGTGTCTCACAGCAGCGTACATGTAGTTTGTCCGTGTTGGGAAGGACAGTCTGTAGCCGTCAGGGAAGGAATGTCCAGAGACACCTGGGAGATGAGAAACAGCTTGAATATGTAAACAAAACAGGAAATGGAATTTTTGCTTTTCTCATTTATTCATCTGATTCTTTTTAGGTATTTCCTTTCTTTGACTTACCTTCCTCCAGTCCTGAGAGTCGGTGCTGCAGTTTACTGAGGCCTCGGTCGATTTCCTGCCTGTGTTTCTCAGTTTCCAGCCTGAGGGCTTTTCTCTCTTTCTCCAGCAGCTCCACCTTCCTCTCCAGCTCTCCCTCCAAGTCTTCCATCCTCCAGGGCCTGTCAGCACCAGCTTTGTGCCCGGGATCTGCCGACCTCTCTTGGCCGCCAGACATCCCGCCTTCCTCTGGCGCTCCTGAAATACTGCCGTCCGTCTGGTTGTGAGGAAATGGGCCAATGTCTGACTGCAGAGGAGGGAGACAAAGGATTAAAACTGGTGAGCTGTGTGGGTTTTACAGTCCAAGAAAACACAGAAACATACTCGCTCCACTTGCTGCAGTGTTTACCTGCAGTTCGCTCTCATTATGTGCTGGGTGCGAGACTCTGAGAGGCAAAATTAGACCCAATTAATAAGTAATTTCTCTGAAAGATTAGATTGAGCCTGGGGATACAACTAGAGGCTAATTTAATAAGGTTTCACTATGTAACATAATGTTTTACTTCAAGGAAAAGTGGTGGGAACAGACTATTTTAGTCTATTTCTTGGCTTGGTCACAGTGACACAGAGTAGATACACCATGTTGATTTGTGGGCTTTAGAGATGTGAGTAGGCAGAGTTTGTTACCATTGGACCAATATGGGCTGAGCAGTTTCTCTTGTGTCAGCTGCTGATGGGGATTTTTGTTTTTCACAGGAAACAGCCATGATGGAGCCGTGAGAGTGATGAGCGTGAGCCAGAGCAGTGAAGTTATGGGCTCGACATCCGATCAATGAGTTGAATAAGCTCTCTAAAGCCAAGGGGAGCTGTAGATCCAGTCAGTAGTTGTGTATAGGCTCATTAGCGAACATTGACACATTGCATTGTATAAAAATACAGATTATAGCCTCTTTAAATCTCTTGTGATGAAAACTTTCTCAAAGAAAACAAGAACGAGTAGAAGTGTTAAATACAGGAGTTTTCGCTTACTGAGCAGATCTTGATTAAACTGAGTCGTCCCATGTCTCCAAGGACCTTTTCAATTAAGTATAACACAACAAATAACTGAAAGTCAGAAATGCTGCCAAGAAAATGAATAATTTCAGCCAACAACAAATTGCTCTGCTTCTCCGCATAATACCGCACTGAAAAAAAAACCCACAAGGGAAGAAATGTGGGAAAATACAGACTCTGCAGCAAAATGCCTAAAACCGACATGGTCCAGCGTATCCACCATGAATATTGTTTTTCAGTTTGCAGTCGAGACGTATCACAGAAGGATTCAAACAAAGAATATCAGGCACATACTCATGTTTTGAACAGTACATAATAGCTCATGTACCTCAACCACGCTTTTAAGATGATACAAAGAGTAATGGCTTCCTATAGTGGTAACTGCTGTGTGAAAATAACACACTGAAACGATGAGGTCAGAGGTCAGGTCCCCTTTTTTCATAAATGATGGATTGCACATTCTCAGTTCATCCAAACAAACGTGTAAAAATTACAATATCCTCTTTCACATGAAAATCTGTATATATATATATATATATACAAAATAAACCTCATGTGTGGGTGTAAATATATCAGTATCATGCAACAAGCCACTCACACCTTCTTATATCTGTGTGTTGATTGTATTTTCATGTGTAATTTTGAATGTTAATGTGATTTGATGATTTGTTTCAGCTTTTCTATGATAATTCAGTTAACGCATAATGTTAAGCACCACATCATTTCTGGATGTTGAGACATATCTCAGGATGAGCGGAAATGCCAACCGCTGATTCTGCAGGAAAAATGCTCATCGAAGTCGCTCAGATTCGTCCCCTGGGAACCATTACATCTTTCTTATCTTCCTCATTACGTTACCTTTTATATCTGCCTTACAGTCCTTAAGTCATCAAATTACGTCCTTCTCATTTTTATGCAAATTTTCTTAGATTGTAATTTATGCAATTTTCCCCGTTTGAGGCGCTAAATAAAACAAAACCTGCACGGTAATTAATTATTGAATTCAAATTCCAGATGCTTCATGACCTCAAAAGGTGCTGCAGTCCCTTATATTCGCCTGTACACCAGTAAAAGACACAATCATTTTTCATTTAAACAGTTGTCAAGACTATATCATTGATAAAGGACAATACATTTGGCTGGAAGATAATGATCCTGCATTCAAATATCCTCCTATAGAAAGCAGAGTGCAGTGGATCAGCACAGTGGAGCTGGATCAGCTTTATATCACCGAGAGCTTTCTGTCACTGAGCTGCTGGTGGAAACCGCACTGATGACGCAAGACAAAAACATGCTTGAAAATGGGAAAACCACTGACGGCACGTTCACACATCGGATGAGATGTTACTGCTAATTGTGAAACAGGCAGGAATAAAAATGAGGCTGGTGTGTAATTGGATTCTCATGAGTGAGGCCTGTGAATATTCTGTCCTTGTGGACAACTAGTGGACCGCAGGCATGAAGAAGTAAGAAATTCAACACAGTTATTTGACCTGACTAGTATTCCCAGATGAACGCTCTTCTTGTGTATTCAGGATCTGATGTAAACACCACACTGTGTTTCTGAAGTAGGCCAAGTAGCTCTTGTACACAGAAACGTGACTTGAATGGTAGAACAGGCAGAGCGAGGGCGAGGAAAATACTCAGCTTTACTTTGAAATGTCACACTGAGACCTGTGAAATCCATTCGCATCGTACTCTGTCCCACACGGAGATTGGATTCAGGTATTATTGAGTTTTTCATGTGATGGTGGGGATATGGGAAAACAGAGTGGTGCCTCTAAATGACCCGTAACATGTCCTAGATAGACTCCTACTGAGTGTGGAGTGACTCTCCTGCAGAGGAGAACGCTTTGGATCTGGGCTTTCAGTTAATATAGGCACCTGGTGAATTATGGATGGAATTTCTGGAGCTAAAAATGAGGTTGTACATCATCGGATTCTGGTCCGATAAGAGGAGGATTCATGTTACTCCTCTCTCCTCCCACTCCTCCTTTCACTGCTGCTGCTGCTGCTGCTGCCCCTCTTCCTCCTCCCCCTTTATCCTCATCTCTCCTCTTCCCTCTCCCTCTCCCCCAACGCCTGTTTACTTGCCCCTACTTGTCATCTCGGTCTTGTCTTGGCTTTGATAGATGAGGAGGGGGGAAAGCAATCAATTGATGCATCTAAATATTGAAAGATTGAAGATGCTTTGTTTTCTTTTTGTCATATTCCAGGGCTGTGTTTTTCCATTTTTACTAATTTAATCACTTGCTTTACTCCATGTTGTATCTGGCTGCCAATATCCAACATCACACACAAAGCCTTTTGGGCAACTCCAAATTTAAAACCCTTGTTTTCACAAAGCTCTCATTCTTACCCAGAAATCCATAAACACAGAGTGGAGAAGAGACAAATCCAGCTCTAAGTGCCAAGTGCGATAATTACTTTTTACATATAGCTGGAGATCTCATCCTTCAAAGATCATAGACTGCTCCCGGGGATTAGTGAGGCCCTTGTCAGTTATTGTTTTACGCAGAGGATGATCTATGTGCTGGGGTGATCTTCCGCGCTCTCTACCTACCTCCAGTTTCTCTATGCGGTCTTTGAGCTGAGTGATCGCCTGCTCCAGCTCATCAACAGCCCTGGCGGTGAGCAGGTGGGCACCGTCGGGCGCAGACGCCGGGCTGTCCCGCACCATGATCCGCTCCAGGTGCGTCCCCTCCGCCGCGCCTGTGCCGCCCCACAGCCCAGCAGCGCTCCCGCGTCTCTCCGCGCCGTCCAGCCCCTTTTCACACTCGGATAGTTTCCCCGTCAGCTCTCGGATGGTCCTCTGGTCGGTCAGTATCTGGTCTTTCTGCTGCAGGACGGTCTGCCGGAGCTCCTCCGCGGTGGTGCGGAGGTAGCCCCAATCCTCGCCGGCGTACAGCGACGGGTCGTCCGCTTGTTGCTGAAAGTTTTTCGGGTTGCAGTCCCCGGCGGGGATCGGCGTGCAGATCAGTCTGCTGACCGCCGGGTCGTGTCCGGTGAGCCCGGTGACCCCCCCCGGTCCACCGAGCCCCATGTTGAAAGTGGGAGCCACCGACTCGGGTGTTTCAGAACCATGGAGAGCGCCCAGAGACCCGGGCCTGGCCGCGGAGCCCCCGGGAGTCTGCGCCACCACGTCCGGATACAGCGAGTGGTTGTCGGTCGTAGGCTGCTGCTGTGCCGCGGCAGCCCTGGAGGAGCCGGTGTGGACGGCCGCGATGATGCAGATAACCGCTCCGATGAAGGCCACCATCCCGGCGGCCAAGATGATAACAATGAACTTCAGGGTGGCGGCGGGGGGGGGGGCGATCGATTACCTGAAAATTGTGAGATGAATGATCCTGATCCAAACTGAAAAAAGCTCTGAAAACAGCAGGGAAAGTGTCCGATGATGTCTGTGCTCGTGATCAGGGAAATAAACCTCCTCAGTTTGCTTCTTTCCCACAACAACAGGCGGTGATTAAATGAGAGTTCTGCACCATCATGAAAAGATCAGAACATGAGGAGCAGACGGTGCGTTACACCTCCTCCTCCTCCTCCTGTTCAGCGCGCATGTCTCCAGTTATACCAGTTAATACAAGAGAGGGAGAGAGAGGGAGAGAGCGAGAGATAGAGACACGCGCACACACACAGAGAGAGAGAGAGAGAGAGAGAGAGAGCCTGATATCTGATTGAGTGGTTTTTATGCAGCAAATTTTTTCCAACCTCAATTTATTGATGTCATTCAATCCATCATTAATGCATAATAACATTGATAACTGTCCCTATTGTTAATTTCTTTTTAATGTCTGACTGGGCTTTAATATGACAGTTACACACTTGCTCTCTCTCTCTTCTCCCTCCTCTTTTCCACCCTTCTCTCCTCCATTTCTCTCCTCTCACCCCAACCGGTGGAGGCAGATGCTCCTGACCCTCCACAGTCCCAATCTGTTGGTTTTCTCTAAGGTCTCAACTTGTAAAGTGCCTGGAGATAATCTTTGTTTTGATTTGGCGCAGCACAAATACAATTTAATTGAATTTGTGTTAATAGAATCTTTGGTTTTGTGTTGTGGAAAAGAAAAACTAATATTAAACCCATTTGATCATCATCACATCTGATTCTAAGTTGCATCATGTGCCAGAAGGTCGTCAGTTTTCTTTCCTCCGGCTTATTATTTTCCAGCTCAGCAACACATTAGGCATGTAGAGGCCGATGTAATGTTATGTGCGGCCATAAGTCAGCCTGGAGGCTCCCTGCGGAACAGCTCTACAGCAGCAGAGATGACAGAATGATGGTCCTAGTGGGAGTGTGTGACTGTGTGTGTGTGTGTGTGTGTGTGTGTGTGTGTGTGTGTGTGTGCGTGTGTGTTGCAGATCATGATAAAGTCCCAGTGCTATTAGTGAGTTTCATTAAACCATGCTTGCCAGTAAAAATGTTGATCTCAGTGTGATGCATATGCACACGAGCAGACATAATTGAACAATATATTTATGAGTGTGCATGAGTAGGTGTTATGGAGAGGACATCTCACACACACACACACACACACACACACACTGAACGACACATGAGCAGATGAGCGTTCTCACACAAGTAACGGGGGGTTTAAGCTAAGACCTCTTAAAGTCGCAGGCGCTGAAAGCTCTAAATTAAGATGGGTGTGGGAGAAGTCGTGAGACATCCAACATGTCTGCCGCAGAAAATAGCTCAATATCTCAGTCTTCACCAGAGCACCACAGAATAGTTAAGTAGGGGACAGGAGCTGCTGCAGAGACGGACACGAGGAGCAGCAACAACTGAACTCCACATGTTGTCAGCTTGTAACTGAATCTCTCTCATGGCGTGTTTGGCTGTAAATAGCTGTTGGTTCTTCTTCTATTCTTATTTATTTTATCTCAATGTTTTATGATGATGGAAGGACCATATACAGTTGACAGTACAAGTAAACAATCTAATATAAAGTATTTATTTCATTGGAAGTAAATGGTTTCTCAAGGCGGCAGCATGGTGCATTTTCAGTCCACAGAGCTTTGGCAGCATAAAGGGAACCACTGCATTAGACAGGACGAGTTGTGAGTGAAGAAGTCTGGACTCTGCTGCCAAGTTAAAGATAAAAATGCTGCTGGTCTATTAAAATAAAAGCTTCTGTGACCAGCTGACCTCAATTTATCACCCGTCACCTTTGACCTTTGTGTTGTGTGTTGTCTTGAAGTTTTCTTTGGGAGGATTTTCTTTTGCTGATACAGATTTGTACCAGGTTGAGAGAATTTCACATTTATAAAACTAATGTTGTATATAGTACTTTTGTTTTTTTACTATTTATTCTAGATTCTGTTTCTATTCTTATTTTCATTCCTTCCTACATATTCTCCTTGCGCTGCTTTTTCCTTTTGTTGAAGCCTCAATATTGAATTTCCTCTGTATTTGGACAATCAGTACACGTACATCTTGTTTTAAACTGATGTTTAAAGACATTCAAATGAATGTAGCTCTCCCGTCTGTCTGTCCATCCCTCTGTCTGTCTCTTTCTCTCTGTATCTCTTTCCCTCTTCTCTTTCCATCTATCTCTGTCTCTCTCCCTCTCTCTTAACCTTACACCTTTATCTGGTAATATACAGTCATAAAGGGAATCAGATCAAATTTCTTGTGGTAGCCGCTTCTCTGTTCTAGTTGTGCACGAGGAGTTTATTGACTCCGACATGTCAGAGAACAATAAAGTCGTCTGATAACAACAGACTCATCAGGTCGGTGTCTCTGCTGCAGAACATCAGTTTGCATATCAGCCGGCAACAGGGGGACTGGGTCTCGGGCTGCATGCCTGAGGAACTGTGGTAGAAGTGAGGAAAGAAATCAATAATATTTTCTCCTCTCATGGTTCTGATCAAATATGGCAGAACAACTCTCCCTCTGACGTTCTGTGTAGCAGCTGCAGAGGTAACACTTCCTTCCTCTTTCTTCGGTTGCTGTATTTTGTATGGTGCAGTGTTTCATGGTTTGCTGAGGCTCACTCACATAGATCAAGACCCACTCAATTCATGAGTTTTGTTTGGTCTCACCACTTCTTCTTTTTTGCCTTGAACAGTTTGTGACATATCCAGTGATTAAAGTCAAAGGATTATATGGTTTTTAGCACATTTTTGCCAATTTTGCATTGACCAATCAAAAATGTGGAATATTAGTGAGATTAGTGTATTAAAGGATTTGGATTAGTGAAATCATGGATTTCTGCTTGATTTACAAATGCACTTTGTGACATTTTCATATTCATTCAAGTCAATTTCACATGGTCCCAAAATCATGAATCGTGAAGCTGCTTCACCAGCGGGACGATATTCAACACACTCTGTGTCCTGGGATGAACAAAGTCTCCCCTTAAATGGGAAAGAGCAATTTCAGGAAGAGCAACAGAGGAGGGAGCTCTTTACCAAGGCACAGAGACCTGCTGCATGGTGTGTGTGTAGAAGATATCAAAAAATTAGGACGGCAATACAAAGTAGATACATGATGAAAATAGTGTAAATGATGATTATTGATCAAGAAATACAGATGGACTTTATTTAGAGAGGAATGAAACGTCTTCACTGTCTCCCACTATCCAGAAATGAAATATCCTGGATACGAACCCTGGCATCTCGCGCCGATGATGTCAGTGACGAGGTCCCACCGATTCCTGCGAATCAAAATCAAATAATCAATTAAAAACAACGTTACTGGAGAAATTGAAAAAACAAAAACATCGATGTGATAAAAACTACCTGACATGACAGAAACCATGTTTTAAAAAAAATTTATTTCACATGTGATCTATCAATTTGCTCCATGTCCCATTCACAAATATGGAGGAGGCTGGTGTATGACTCACATACTGCATCCTGGTTCCATTAGATAAGAACCTGAGCTACACAACCTCTTCTATAAAAACCTGGAAAGGAAAAACACACAGGACACAATGTTCTTGAAATATGAGAAATGTGCTCCTATAGATAAAGAACATTGTGCGACAGTAGTTTGCTCACTTGCTGTGCAGCTCCATGGGCTGAGTAGACTTGTATTCACCTGATTGTTTTTTTTAACCTTGGCTCTGTGGCTTCCTGTGCAGCCGAGAGACAACGACCCTGTTTGTGCAGGAAGATTATTAATTACTAATAAAAGAGAACGAAGATAGAAGCTCTGGTCAAGACACCCTGGATGCACATTGGACAATTGGGCCGACACAGACAGAAAACCATTCACGACCATGTTCACTCAAAGGTGATTCTGCTTCTAGAAAAAAATAAACTCATATTCATGACCTATTTCTGAAGCTTTATGAGGGTGAGGATAATAATCTGAAGGTGATTGATTGACAGAGTCTCTTCTTGACATTGACACTGACAGAAGGAGAAATACAGATTAATAACTTCATTATTCTTTGAAATGTTATTGTTTTGTCTGGATATTTATTTATTTTCAGAATTAAAAACATCTCTGTTGTATTCTTGAATAAAACATACAGTGTAGGAAACTCACACACACACACACACACACACACACACACACACCCAAACAGTCAAGGGTTTACAGCATGTGTCGATGTGTTTTATGGTCGAAACCACGTTTAATTATTTACCTCAGTCTTTCTCGGACCTCAGTAGTGTCGATTACCACCACACCAAGCTGCCTCCTCTCCTGAACTCCACGTCCACATTAATGAGATTAACCCGCCTTCCTCTCAGAGGCTGTGGCACGTTTGCCAGATGATTTAAGATCCCTCTCAAGGCTCCACTGGATAGAAACATGTCGAGGATGAATAGTGATCAGCTACATTCCTCCACCTTGGGGATTTACTCGGTAAGTGACAGATAGTGTGCGTGGTGTGTGACGGCCAGTGGCTCAAATTAGACAACAAAGAGACAGATGGGGCAAAATATAAAGTAGTTTTATGAGTGAGGGCAACAAGTCGTCCGTCCTGAGTTGTGATTACTTTCTGGAAACTGGGACGGATTCCAGAGCACGTAGAAACATTTCCTTCTCTCTTTCCCGAGGTGTTAAGCTTGGTGAAATTTCTCTATGTAATTTCTGCCGAGCAAACGCGACGTGAATCCACAAAGTCAGTTTGGAATTCATGGAGTGTTTCGTACGAGAGTGTCTGTGCTCCAGTGTCGAGCTCACAAATACAGATTGAATTAAAGATTAAATCCTATTGAATTTTCAAGGTGTGTCTTAAAATATCTGAGGAAAATACCCGTGGAAAATATCTGAAAAATATTTCTCCCCAACAGCACCTGACGGATGAGTTCAACCCAGGCCTGCAGAAATTGGTTTCACTGGGAAAAAGCTACACCCGAGCTTTCAAGGGTAAGAAAAAAGGGAGAGAAGGAAAAGGGAAGCCTGCACTTGGTTATTTGTGTTGAAGTCACACACCTATATCTTTATCAGAGCTGTAAACTAAACAAACAGTAATGACGTGATGAGTTGTCAGGCGTGTCTTTCATTAGACCTCATTCCAAAGTCCACGTGCTGGGGGAGTATCCCGAGGCTGTTATAGCTTTCTTACGGGCCCAAGACACTGTAAGGATTCCACTGTCAAACCCGACAACTACACAGGGGCAGAGATTTAGGACATTGAATACTAGTAAAAACTAGTTCTGCTTGATTATCAGCGAATGATTCACAGCAGCTCCACAGACATACAAATAAGATCCTTCTTGTTGCTATGTGATTAGAGACATAAATCCAGGTGGATGAGCTCTAGCCAAGGTGCTCATGTAACTACAGCCTGTTTACATTATTCTGTTTGAGGATTTTATTACGTTTTTTCAGGTACAAAACATTTTGTCGCACATTGACGACACCGAAACCCTAAAATACTATTTAACTGCTAAAGATAGAATAGACGGAATAATCTAATCCAATGTGTTAAAGTTACTGAGACACCAGACACCACATTTTGTCCAAACTAAATCTTCCTCAATGCTTGTGGTGGAAGGTTTTTATACAGTCGGGTAAACAGGAAACATAAGAGACAACTGTTTCTGAGTAATAGCATGAAAACTGAAGCCACCTGTAGTCTGGTTGAAACAGGAAGCTGTCTGCTCTTGCTTGGACTCGGTGCTAAAAAGGTGGAGGCTGGGGTGGTGAAGGCAAGGGACCGCTTTGGTGAGAGAATGAGCTGTGATTTGTGGGTGGCTGACGAGCACCTGTAACCTATCGGTAGCTGACAGCTGAGCACATGACTCCGTGTCCTGCATGAACTAACGCGAAGCTTCATAAGTTTGCTAGCTACACAGATCGGGGTCAACAAGAGGATCATCATCAAGAAAGGACATGAACTCAGAGGTTACATCTGCCAAGTGCATGGCAACACTCATTTGTTAAAGGTAAAAAAGAAAAAAAAGGAGTCTGTCTAGTTTAGAATCGTCTATCTGCACGGACACCAGAAAGTTCCTCTTATGGGAGCACAACTGTTTCTATATGAGTTAGTGTGGAACACAGCACACAAACGTTGATCAGACATAGAAAAGAGTTTATATGCAAGTTTTCCATTACATGCTTTTTGTAGTTTTCTTTCCCCTTGTGTCTTTAGAGCAGAAATAAATCAGAGTCAGTACTGATGTGGTCATTTGACTCCTCTGCGATGTTACGCTGCTGTTTTTTAAGTGAACCCATTTCCAAATAATCAGAGAGCAAAAGAAAGAAGAAGAAGAGGAAGAAGATCCTTGTGACAGCAGAGCCTCTCCTGGGTGCCAGCTGGTGCAGGATCAGTCACAATAATAAAATAAAACAGTCCTGAGCACAGCATGATGCCATGATAGACGCAATAAAAACATTACAAAACGACAGAAGTTCGATCCTGCTGTCGTTGTGTTAAATGTTCACTGAATAAATCGTGTCGATCCAGGCCTCCTGCTGTGTGCTGGGATTTCAGAGCCATGTTTTTGTGTTTGGAAATTTGAACTCTTTCTTTTTTTGCATTGAATGACTCTGTTTACCTGCTGCTTCAGTTCAACGCTAAGATAAAAAAAAACATGTCAAATGAATGGTGTGTTTCAGCTCTGGCGGAAACAAGCGAGGCCTACTTCAGAGCGCTGTCAAAGATCGGAGAGAAGGCTTTCAAAACCGCGTCCTCACGCTCCCTCGGTATGTGCACACACACATTCGTACACAGCCGGCTAGTGCAATCTCACGTGTAACAAGTAGGAACACAAAGACTTAATGCACAATCCAGGATGTGAACATTTATTAAACTAATTAAACAAGCTTCCTCCGTACAGGAGCAAAGTTTACCCTCAGGTGGCACTTTATTGTTTTGAGTGTGTGCATGTGTGTGTGTGTGTGTGTGTGTGCATGTGTGTGTGTGTGCATGTGTGTGTGTGTGATTAGGATGCTCTTTGAAGTTGAAGTTGCTGAATACATGTATTTCACAGTATCTACAACACTACAGGCTCATAAACATGAAAAGACTTTGACCTGCAGCTCAAACTGAGCCAGTATTTGTTTTGGGTTGAGGTCCAGTTCAACAACACGGCAGAGGTGTTCAAAGTTAAACTGTGATCTAATGCTTAAGGGTGCTATGTTGTGTTTGGTGCGTGTGTTGGCAGGGCGGGTATCACATGCCAGCAGAGAAAATGAATAATAGATGGTGACAGACAGCGGGTTGTGCTCCGCTCACTTAACCTGGCTACTGGAAAACGATGTCAGGTTTAACGGCTGGAGCTGGAGACATTTGTCCAAACTGGATCATTAGTCCACTTTACTGTAGGAAGCAGTGATACGTCTCCTCAAAGTCTGTGGGAGACTGATGGGTTTGTCTCAAAACACTGTAGAGTCTCAAAATGATTGAGTCCCTCGGGAATGAATAAATACAAATTTAATTCAACTGAGCCGAACAGAAATTAATCCAAAAATAAATGTGTTCACATGTCTTGTTTTTTAAAATTCGATTTGAGGTCAGTTATCTGCACCTTTTATTTTTGCACTTTATGCTTGTTGTAAGAGTTCAACTGTACTTTTGCCGCAATGACAACAAAGTTTAATCTAATCTAATCTAATCTATTAGTCTAATCTAATCTAATAGTCTAATCTAATCCAATCTAACTACAGCCAACCATTCTAATGAATCCAATGAAAACAAAACCTGGATTAAATGGAATAAAGTAGTTGGATTTCTATTTTTATTTCAGAAAAGCCATCACATTCATTTTCAATTTGATTTAAACTGTGTGTGTGTGTGTGTGTGTGTGTGTGTGTGTGTGTGTGTGTGCAACGTAAAATTTATATTAAATATAATGTCGATGTAGCTCAGACACAAGGACACATTATTTATTATTTATGTTACTGAAACATTGTTTTAAAGCTAACGCCTACACGTGGTCAGATTTGCTCCAATGACTCTGACCTCATAGGAACAAGAGTTGAGATTTTTCATAGGAACAATTTAAATGTGTCTCACCACAAGTCACACTATGTGACTCATTTCTGCATCATGGGCTAAAAAACAGATACAAATTAAAGATATTATTTTGCACAATGTGATTTTTTTATTTTTTCTTAGCACGGATCTAAAATGTAACACGCTTGTCTTTAAGGAGATGTCCTGCTTCAGATCTCTGAGAGCCAAAGAAGAATCACGTTGGAGCTGGATGGAGTCGTAAGATAAACACTGTCCGCTGGGCATCACAGATCTGTGAGTGCGGCTCTCTTGTGTTTATGATGTGTTTTGTTTGTGTCTTGTTCCAGTTCCGCTGGTTCAGTGTGGAGGTTCTGCAGGAGATGGACAACAACGTTAGACTGGACCAAGATTACATCTCAGTGAGTGATGGATTGACACAAGGGACTCTTATAATCTTGTCCAGGAATTAAAATCAAAATAAAAACTGTTGAGTATAATATTCTTAAAACCCACGAATATGTCATTATAATAGCAATATGGCCACGTCACCTCACAGCCCTGATGCTGGGTGATAACTGAGGTGATTTTACAGACATGGTGTGAATTCTCTGTCTCACAGGACAGCAGGAATCATTACGAGATGGAAGTCCACAACCTGAGGAGAGGAAACTACAGGGTCTGTGTCTTCCTCACATTCTGCACCATGTATATGTATGTGCCCCTGTACAGTGTGTGTGTGTGTGTGTGTATATAACTACTGTATATATACGTACCTCCAGGATTGTTCAGAGTACATGCAGTTCCTCAGGGATAGCCACGAAGAGGCTCTGAAGGAGGAAGAGAGGAGATACCGCTTCCTGGCTGAGAAACACTGTGGAATGATACAGTCCATCGCCCAGTTCGTGAATAAGGTTTGGAATAAATAGCTTTTATGAAACAGTTGAAGGTCGAGCATGTGTATTGTGGGCTCCTTCCCCGATCTCTCATGTAAAGACTCTGGCTCCAGATGCACCAGATGGCACTATGATATTTTGGCTTCATTTTTATAAAGTGGAAACACGTCGTTATACACAGTCTATGTTTTTGACTCAGGGACCATTCTACTGACCTAATTAAACAATTTACTGTGGCTCCGAAGTTTTGTTCAGTGAACCAAATCCAACTGTTCAACTAATAAAACACACTGAAACAATGATTGATGACCTGTATCTTCACCCTCTCTGGGGACTTATGAAGCCGGCCTGGTTATTTTAATTTACAGTTTTCATAATAAGGCTGTCGTGAAGCCCTTTGAGGCCGGAGCAGTGATTCAGGACTATAGTCATTCATTTACTTACAATTAATGGCAGTTCGCAAATTCTAACCAACGGACCATAAAACCTTTATATTATTAAAAAAATACCTTTTTCCATGATGATGGATGAAAATGGACTTCACTTCCTTTGACTCTCAGCTGAAGATGTTGTTTTTCTGTTGTTTAGCAGTCAAACCTTTAACGTTGTGTGTGTGTGTGTGTGTGTGGCAGATAGGTCGGTCTCTCCAGCAGAGAGCTGATATCTGGACAGAAGAGGTGAACGCCACCAGACAACCTGAAGCCAGACGTCCCGCTGCTGTGGAGAACACTGTGAGTTCAGGGTTCGTCAGACAGGTTTAGAGTTTTACATTTTTCAATATCCAGAGTGAGATTTACTGTTCAATCCTGTTTGTGGGGAAGAAACTGAGTTTTATTTGCAACAACCTTTTATCCTAATCTCTCAATTATACACAGATCAGAAAATTACTGCAGTAATATTCTTATTACTAGAGTGCCCTCTGGTGGTTGAGCTCGGTTCCTGACTTGATCTGAAACCATCAGAATGAATTGCACCTCTGTCTTGCAGCTCATCTCAGAGACAGCAAAGCTTTCTGAGGATTAAACCACTGAAGTAGAAAGACGGAGATTATAGATTGAAGGAACAGACTGTGATCGTGAGCATCTCGCAAATGTAAATCTTGTGAATCATCTGAACACACACACATTATTGTGATGTTGTACATGCAGGATGATGTACAAACTAAAACTAATGTTTCATTGTATAAAGGCATTATTCTAGTTGCTCTCTGTCTGTTCCTCGTTAAAGTGACACGCCAATGAACCCGACACCTCCCACATCCTGCGCTAATAACAATCAGAGGATTAATATGGATTCTGTGTTGGTTCTGGTTTGACGTGGGATTTATTCTATAGTAGAGTGAAGCCTGTGAGCCACTGCTGGCAGGTATTTGAGTTCGTACACGACATATATATTATTCACTGCTACGTACAACACAATATATCCAACACATCCTATGCTGTCTTTGTGCTAAGCCGAGCTAATCGCCTACTAACAGCACAGTGTTACGTACGCAACGATGACAAGCTGGTGAAATTGTGCCAACGAATCAAAATAGTATCTTCTGATGAAGTGTGAATATGAATCTGCTGTGTTCTTTATTTCGGGTTTGAACCACTGACTTTCTAGACAGTGGACGACCCTCTTTGTCTCCTGAGCCACAGCTGCTCCTCCATTATACTGACTCCATGTTTTTTTATATAATCCATTTCAGATACATTTGTGTTCATTTCTTCATTTATAGGTGAGGCAGGAGGAGGTCAGAAGGAGCAGAGAGGAGCAGCCCCTCGGAAAAATACCATCAAGGGGTGAGTTTTGAAAATGAGATCCAACACATCGACCATCAACACCTCACAGCAAAAACAAAAGGCCTGAACATAATTTTACTTTTGTCACATTTTACATAATTGGTTTTGGTTCATCTCCAGGTTAAAACGAAGCTCGGTGTGCAGCATTAATTTTCCTCTGTAAATCATTTGCAGTCCACAGTGCCTCCGTCTGTGTATCAGTCATTTTGCCTTCACTCTATAGCAGCTGCTTTATCTCTGTCTGAGCTTTTTATCTGTTTCTCTCTCCTTCTCTCTCTTCACATTTTGCTCTCTGTGCACTTCTGTGCCTCCTCTTTTGTACTTCCCTCTGCAGAAAGTCTAATTATTAAGCTTGCTTTATCTTCAGTAAAAATAGATACGATGACAATGTATGAAAAACAGAAAATAAACTAAGCACAATACTAATCTTCGTCCTCAATTGCCTCCTCCTTTGGTTTAATGCAATAAACGGCATCCTCTGTCATCCAAACAAGAATAAGTATGCATGGTCTTAGATATTTAGTAGTTCTGAGTTATGAACACTGGGGTCATAATGAATAAAGAAATAAATCATAGCTCGTTATAGTTTTTAATTAATCATCCCACCAGAGAATATCTTTTGCCATTTAAGTGGGTTCATCAGCCGATGTGAGCTGCAGCAAAAAGTTCTCTGTGTTCCCATCGTGTGTGTTTTTCATTTTTCATCTCTCCAGCCCCGTCTCCCCAGGGAAGCATTTATCGCTCTGCGGCAGACTCGGTGGGAGGTGGTGCCGCTGGAGAAAGATCTACAAGGGCCCTGGTTTCCCACCAACCTGCTGGCGCCCACCACACCTTGCTGCCCTTCACCAGGGGAGAGATAATCACTGTGATGGTCCAGCAGTCGAGGAACGGCTGGTTGTACGGACGATCTGACAGCAGCTCACGGTGAGAGATGTGTGTCTGTGTTTGTGTGTATTTGTCTGTCTGTACTGACTGTATACATGTGTGTCTCTTTAGTAACAACACGTTTACATACCATATTCAAATGTGACTATAAAAAAATGTATGGAATCGTGAGCATTGTTGGATTCTGAGCAAATTACTGGAAAGAAAATGAATCACATATTAAAAATTAAAAGTACAACCAAAAAATATAATTGAAACTGGACTGGTACCTGAAACCACATATGTTTACCGAGGCCAAACAATCCTGCATGTCTGTCTTTCTCTTACAATAGAAAGTTAAAAGTAAAGTATTTAGATACTCTGGAACAAAATGTACAATCTAAAATGTCTATCCTAGAATGAAACCAAAATATCCTGGATACGAACGCAGTCGTCACAAACCACTGCTCAACACAAAGTCCAGCTGCAGCAGAAGGAGAATGACATTATTTTAGCTGATATCTGGACATAAACCAAAGTATTAGAGATGAAAAAAATGTATGTCATATATGTAACATCTGTCTCTTCCACTTTCAGTCAGGGATGGTTTCCAGCCTCATTTGTGGAACCGGTGGATGATCCTCCCAAGTCGACCAGCTCCAGGTGAAGATCCAGTAAAATGAATGACAACTAAACTACAGTAATTCAGAGCGGAATAGAAGAAATGTGTGATTATACTCTGATTGTGCCTGATATCATAGCAGAGGATTAGATTAGATTAGAAGTTCGTTCCTCAGCATCTACAGGATGAAACAGTTAATGCAGCCATTCTTTCTTCATGTGCAGCCATTAAGCTTGAGGAGATGAACCAAAGTCTAAATTTACTGTAAAACCTGATGCACATTATATTTTGCAGCTCCTCCAGGCTCCTTATTGTTTTAAAAGAGGCCTGCGTTAATAACGTGGACTAGTTATGATATTTGGGTGACCCGTAGCTTTGAGGAAAAAAACAGAAAAAACTTTGAATATCCTTTAAGTTTGAAGTTTAATAAGCATTCAGGTGTCTAGTGAAAAAAAAAAAGATATGAGACTTCCTTAACAATTAACAGATACTAATTGTTTCGTGTAATTTTAGAAACTCAACCCTCCGAGGCAGCAGCAGCAGCAGCAGCCTGTACGACCAATGGGGGAGCAGCAGCCAGAGCGGAGCCGCGCCCCCTCCCGCTCCGCCGCCACCGCCGCCATTGTCACTGTCCTCGAATAGACACTCTGACATGCAACCGATCACTCCAACAATGCCCACTCCCAACAGGCAGGATGAGTCAAACAACAGGGTACGGCCATCAGTCCATCAGTTCTCAGTGAAATATGACTCTGTCTGAATTATTGCAATTCCTCTGCAGTGTTTTCTGAAGAGACAACTTTCTAACATGGCGCCCTCTTGCCTTTTGTGAAAGTTAAACTAATGTACGGAGGCCGAGAGAGCTCAACGCACTGCAAATGAAGAAAACACATCAGTTTCATCAGCACAAAAAGTCACAACACCTGCAAATACAGAAACGAGCTGCATCACTGTGCCGGAGCTAGATCAATACTGATGCACTCAGGCCAGGTTCATCAGTACGAGCTTCATCAACTACTTGTTGACAGTGGAAGAGACCAAGTGTAAATGAATGTCCCCTGCGTTATTTGTTGAATTATGCACTGATGACTGTGATGTTTTCTCCAGAGATGATGGGGAAATGAAATATGATGAGAAACACTGCGTCCACTGTAGTTGTTTGATGGCTGTTGCCCCGTCTGTCCAGCAGGGGCACTGTGGCAGGGTGCTGCTCTCAATGACACCACATCCGTCCTTTTGGTGGATGCAGGGTGGAAGCTCCAGCTGCTGACAGTGTGGGGGCAAGGAGGTTGTGTGCATGTGTGTGTGTGTATGTGTGTGTGTGTTCTGGTACTTATTGATGAGGACTTGTAAAGCATTGGACCTTTAAAGTGAGGACATTTTTGGCGGTCCTCACTTTTTCATTGGGCATGTGCATGTGTGTGTGTGTGTGTGTGTGTGTGTGTGTTCTTGCTGTGACTTTTTGCTGCAGTGTGACAAAAGCCTTTTGTCTTTTGTGCTATTTAAGTACAGAATTACTTAAATAGCATTTTTGTTTGTGTCAATAAGCAGGGCGGAGCTTACGGTGATAAATGACCCTCGTAAACTTTGATATTTTGTTTTATAAATTGATTTATATATTAGCTAATTATTAAATTATACAAATAATGGAAACTGTTCTTTTACTGAAAAAAGTATATGAGCCATGAAACCTGCTCTCAAGTCAGCAAGGTTAATTATAAAGTAATTTTCATGAAAACAATAATAACAGAGTTGTATAATTACTGGAATAATGGATTTGATGATTCAAATGATGTTTTGTTTTTATATAGATTCATTTTCCTGGTTGTCTGTGTGTGATCTCTGCTGCTGATCCCTCTTTCATCTCTTTGGAAAACAGTGATTTTGCAGTTTGTGTCAAATGGGCACTCACCAATGTGTGTGTGTGTGTGTGTGTGTGTGTGTGTGTGTGTGTGTGTGTTGGGCAGCTTGTGGGAGGACCGGCTGAAAGCAGAGGGGTGAGGGGTCAAGGGCTGGACGTTGCTGAGCCTCCATTAATGCATGTGTCCACATGTTGTATTTTGGAGCGGCCCTCGCTGACCCGTACCTTTCTCATCTTTTTTTTTTTACAGAGATCACAACCACACGCTTCACAGCCCGAGCTCTTCCCGAGGTAAGAGTGATGTTACTGCAGCTCTGCTTTAGGTGATAAAATGGAGGCCGCTCGTCTTCTCTCGCAGAGAAACTAATGGTATTTTTGAAGTATATCACGGACCCATTAAGCGGGAGAACAACACAGACGAGGGCAGTGATCTAAATAGCACAGAATCACTTTTTTTCCATCAGGCTTTGAAGTGCAGTTCAGTTCTGAGAAACCATTTCAGTTATGGCCGTTTGGGAAGCGTGGCTATCGCTCTCACTTCAGGTGAACAGTTTGCCCGATGATGCTTGTGCAGTTTGAAATGCAGCGCTCATTTCTCCTGCTATAACCTCTACATCATTGTGGGCCAGAACATTTTCTGATATTGGTTTTCTCAACTCTATCTATGTTTTTTCTCTTCTCTCTCCTGTCCTCTCTTTTTTTTTTTTTTTCCTTGAAGGGGAACCAATCCATTTGCGACAGTGAAGCTGAGGCCCACCACCACCAACGACAAATCGAGTCCACGGCTTGAACGCAGATGACATCTTAATCCTCAAAACTTAACTCCGTTCACTCCTTGGGTGTACATACGGTAAAAAAACTGAGCAATTGGACCTTTAGTACTTGTATGTAAAGTCCAACTACACACACGTACACACAAAAACAGAGAAAAATGCTTGAATAACAATTTAGGGCTTTTCTTGGATTAGGTTGACATTTACTTAGATCTTTGTAAACCAACATTATAAGAAGCACATTTTCTGGTCTGGTTTGTAAAATAAAAAGTGAACTAATTTGTTTATTGATCTAATCTGGTACTGAATCTCCATTACTCCTAAGTCATCGTTTTTCAAATGAAGCTATAACATGGGAATGATTTGGATATCGGCCATTTGACAATTTACAATTAAACTCAGTGATATGTTCAGTTGATGTTTGGAATCAGTGCTAATAACTTGTTTATGTGCAGCGTGAGACGTGTTTTTCTGTATGTGAGATGTGCAGTTTATTGGTCAGCACTGGATAATTTATGCCATGAAAGATATGAAAAGGTTTTAATGATCTTTTCTATGTTTTATATTTTTGTAATGTTCCTATCATTTATTCCTACATCGTCCACATGTGAATTAGGCTGATTGCTAAATATTAATTGCATAACAAATGTACTCTGTAGAAAATGATAATGTAACCTGTGGCAGTAAAAATATGTCTGAGGCAGAGATGTAATGAAAAATGCAACAAAGTCATAGATTATGTAACATCACATTTATAGCATCATATAATTACTTTAGCTAATCTGTTAAATCTGCGGCTTCCATCTTTCTACAGATGGTTTACTGATCATTTTGTTTCACGATTATGTGTAAAATGTGATGAATGTAAGTTTTTACATCATAAAAAATACTCTGATATTTAAAAACCAATAAACTGCTCTCTTTACTGCTCCTTCAATGCTCCACCTCTCCACATTCATGCACATGCATTGCAACAAGAATCAACCGCCGCAGACATCAGTATTCTCTGCAGACGAAATACTTCCTCCGTATTTACACAAACTGCAATGACCAGAACGAGTCGCGACATTGTCCTTAAAGAACCGTTTCCTCTGCACCACCAGAAATAACATTTGTTGTGGATCTGTATCTGATCTCAATACATTTAAGTGCAATATGGTGAGAAAGTGTTGAATCCTTGGTGGAGTGTATGTGTTCTCTGATTCCTCCTCTCACCTTCCATATGAACCACACTGACCTTGACATAACAGCCTGTTTAAGCACTCTGCTTTCTTGAGCTGCTCTGAACACAGGGGTTCCTTCATATATGCTCAGGCATTAAAATGGCCTACTAAAGAAGATCCCACTTTGCCTGTCTGGATTCTCTGCTGGGGATACTTAACCCAAATTGAACCTCAGTGTGAATTCAATTCTGCTAATGGCCAGACAGCACGGTCCTGTTAAACTAGCACAGTGCTTCTGAATAAAGACGCTTATGTATGGATTAACGACCTCCTCCTTCCTGTCTCTCCCTCAGAGAAGTTAGATTTATGAAGTCATGTGCAGGAGGAGGCTCGTCAGAGTTGTGTAACTGCAGCGTTTCTTTCCCTGCAAAGACAGCACAGCCCCGGCCTGATGAATACTTCTAAAAGAAAGTTGACCTTCTTAAAGACAAAAGCATTTTTTAAGTACATTATAAGATGGCTGTCAAGATATGCTTCAGTAGCTGTGCTTGATAAAAGGAGTGAAAGCGAAATAGAGGGAAAGAAGGAGAGCTGCAGTGAAAGTGTGGAATGAAGAATCACATCAAAAGAAGGAATCAACACAGGAGTCGATGTTCTTGAGGCTTTGTTTTCTTCATTTTATTTTATTCTTTCACAGCTTGACCTCTTTCTTCTTTTGGTATGTTTTACAACAGCTCATAACCGGAGGAGAGAGGGATGTACGGGAATGAATAGATAGATGTGTGCAAGTGACACAGAGATAAATAGAAATTTAGGGGGAAAGAGAGGGAAGGTGGTGATCAAGGAAAAATAGAGATAAGGAAAAGGAAATCATAAATACAGAAGGGAAGGAGGGTCTTTCTCTTAACATCTCTGTTTTCTCTACTACTTTATGCTAAATTGTGAGGTTTGTTCCTGCAGGCAAGTATTTTATCTATATGTAAACACAAGAACAGTTTTTATAAAAAGGAGAAAATAAATCAAATGAATGTAGCTCGTGGGGGTTTTGGAGGATGTGTGGGGGTCAGGGGGTCGCACACAGGAGTGTGTGTAGCAGGGATCAGCTGCAGTCTAGTGGGCTGGGAGTCAGGGTGCAGGGTGCTGGGAGTGTAGGTGCTGGGGAGGGAGAGAGGGGACTCAGCGGCTCTCAGGATGTGGCAGAGATTAGGAGGTGAGCTCTGCACAGTCGCAGCAGGTGACTAGTTACTCTTTCACCATGGCAGCAAATTCTGCAAGAGAGGAAGAGAACATGTAACTGGAGATACCGACCCTGCTGGTTAATGCCTCTGGCTTTTGTTGGGGTGGACACATAAAAACAAACAGTTGTGAAATGTTTCATTGAATCCTTTTCTAATGGAAGTGTTTACTGATATAGGCTAAATATATACATCAAAAACATATTTATCACAAGCCTTAACTTCCCTCTGAACCATCCATAGTAATAACTGCTCATTTCAAAGCTCTTGCGTTTAACAGGATGCACCATTTGTGTGTTTCTTGGGTGTTTTACCTTCAACTCCGATCTTGCCGTCTCCATCCTTGTCGGCTGCTCTTAAAAATATTTTGGTTTCTTTGTCCGTCAGGTCCCTGCCATTTTTGGCGAAACCCTTCAGGACGAATCTGGTCAGAGACAGAGACGCGGGTGGATAAGTGTCATAGAAGGCTAATGCTTTGTGTGCAGTAATAAGTGAGTGTTTGTTGTCATGTGTTGGGGGTTTGTGTGTGTTTGTCTCACTTGAGCTCCTCCTCCTCTATGTATCCGCTGTTGTCAGCGTCCAGCACCGTGAAGACCTTCTTCACATCCTCAAAGGGCTTGGCCTTAAGACCCACCATCTCGAAAAACTTCTTATGGTCAAAGGAGTCAGCGACTACACACACACACACAGACAGGCAAGTAGGTATACAACTGGACTCATGTGGGTAGATGGATGTCCTTATTAACACAAGAAGAGATATTAAACTACTCTAAAAGTTATTTTAAGTTGCTTGATCTGGGTGATGAGGCACAAATGCAAAAAATAACCCTAATCATGACAGAGATTGAGAACTATGTTTGCCAGAGGACCCGTCAGTTCTAGGTCACGGAGCTCGAACTACTTCCTCTGTCTGTCTGCACTGTACAAGCGGACACACTGAGCTGCACATTCAATTGTCCATTAATGTCAGGTTTTGCATGATTAATGGTTTTATCCAACATTTCCAACGGTGAAAGTGTAAAATGAGAAAATCCTTTTAATTTTTCCTTATTACACGATTTATAGTATTTTGATGCATCGTCATTAAACTCTTGAATCTCCTGAGTCGAGGATGAACCGTTGAGTTAGAATATATGTGGATCTTTGATAGAAATTTCGTTTGGCTAAAGCGAGCGGCAAGGACCTTACCTGCAAATGCATCTACGGCTTTCTTGATGTCATCAGTGTTGAGGATGCTGCTCATTGCCATCTTGGCTACAGTGGAAAAGGAGACAGAGAAGGGGACAAGGTTAAAAACCAAGGACACTAAGACAGCAAGGCGACAACTCGGGGACATTTTCGTATTGCACCAGAGACACGCTCAAAATGGAAACCGGGACATGTGAGACGGAGTTGATGAGTGACAGAATAAATGAGTGATCGTAACAGAGGGAGAGAAATACACCGCTGATAGAAACAGGAAGGAAACGAGATATATTTGTGGTCTTAAAGAAATAATACGTAACAATTCCTCATAAAAATATCTAAAAACGACGAAGCCTATGTTATATATATTAATGATGTTCAAACCCAGAGAGTTCCCCAACTTTATTTCAAGTTAGCTTTTCCCCTTCGTCGCCTTTTGATTGTGTCATCGACATTAAGGTTAAAATATTTAAGGTTTAAGGATATTAGAGAGGAGTGTGATACCCTCGAACTGTTATAGATGGAAGCAGGGCACTGGGCCAGAAGACAAGGGAGGGGGTGGGTCCTGAGAGTCCTGAAATACCACCGGGGAATTCAGTTTGTCAGCCCAGTCCGGACGGAATAACCCTGTTGTACTTCACACTATGAAGGGTGAACCCTCCAACTAACAGCACGTTGGCTTTTTACTGAGACGGAGACTGAACCTGGTCGCTGTTTATGAGGTCGTCACCTTGTCTTGAGTTTGACTGATGCCCTTCTCTCCTCTGTTGCTATTGCATACACACACATATATAAATATATATATAGACATACATACACACAGGATCCAGGCAGCTGTGGTGTTGAGACGAAGTGAGTGACGTGTGGATTAGAGGTTGTGCTGCTCAGATCTCGCTTCAGTCATTGAGGTCTAGCAAAACCTTGATGGGGATTTGAATCACACTCAGACGCTCACTCAAACTGCGACTCTGCCTAAATGGAGGCGCACGTCACCAGCCACTCTGTTGTTTGTGGGGTTTGCTCTTAATTGACTAAAAAAACTCTTTCAGGAATTGTTCTTAGATCGTCAACACCATAGACTGTAAATGACGGCTACCCAAAAGTGAGGCCAAAGTGTCTCAATCGCCCCCTGGTGGCTGGCTGCAGTCATAAATTCCATCTCCTCTATGTTGGTGGATGGGAAATAAACCAAATCAAATGATGTCAAATAATTTTTTTTAAGTAGTTCTTATCTTATCTTTTTATTAGTTCGACACAAATAAGTTCACAACTCTATTTAAGTCATTATTATTCACACACTGGGAATTGTGAATGTACAGATCAAATTTCATGGCTCTCCATCAAGATATTTTAGTGTGGAACAAAATGCATCGACAGACAGTGACCAGGCTAAAAACAACTACGCTCTTTACTGCAGTTGGCTATAGAGCTCAGATACACACACATACAAGGTCAAAGTAATGATACGGTATCACCACCTTCATCATCATCATCATCATCATCATCGTGTTCCCTATGTGCAGCCGATAATGCTGAGCTGGTTAAAATCATCACTCTGTTCTTTTCAGAGTTGGAAATCGAGCTGCTTGAGCTTTTCCACTCAAACAATCACTCATGCTTCAGCACTTTTCTGCATCACACCTTGAACAGTGCAGACGCCCTTCTATCATCTGCCTCATAATCTATTCCACATATCTATATGCATCTCTGAATGGTTCTGTATTGGCCCTGGGATAAGCTGGTGATCAGACCAGTACCCTGCAACTCATCTAGGAGCAGGGATTGGATTAACCCTAACCACAGATTTTATATAAAGATAGACGATGCATCACCACTTCCTCCCACTATCCAAAAATGAAAAAGAAATATCCAGTGTTTTGGAGCTTATGTGTTGGGTCACCCACTACATTATTACTCTCCACTGGTGTCACACTCAGCTCCAGTGATGTATGAGCCTGGCTATCTATCTTATCTACTTCTCTAACATACTGCTGCACATACGGATCAATACAGAACACTGCTTAACTTGTGTGGCCACACATCCAGTCTTTTATCATGATAAAGGTACGGCCTCCCACACTGACCTTTCACCACAAAGGTGTCCGAGGGGAGAAGAAACAATTCCCCGCGAAATGAGGAGGATAAGATTGATTCAGGGAGGTGTCTCAGTCAGCGCGCTGCCAGTGGAACTGTATGAAGTAAGTCATATTGATT